TAATACGAAGCACTGGGTTTATGTAATGCACTTAGAAGCAGGTAATATGCCTGTACACTGCTGTATGAAACTGATGTGCAGCAATTGGTACCAGTTTCCACAGTCTATGTATGCAGATTCCTTTGGAATTCCTCCAGAAATCACCAAAAGTAAGAAAGGGAAACCCTGGTGAAGTGAGCCTTTGTCCAAGGTTCACTGCTTCCAACTAAGTGGAGGATCATAATTGGGCTCAAGAAAGGCTGCCAGCTCCAAAAGGGTAGGCAAGCCCTGTAGTGAGTCGTAACAAGGCAGGCAGGGGCAGGGACAGTGTCCTTACTGGCAAGAGCACAGCCCAGTGGTACCTGAGCAAGGAAAGCAGAGCAGGTCTGGTGACAACAACCATGGTCAGCCACAGTCCAGATCTCCAGGCAGATCCCTATTACAGGGCACACCCTGCCCAAGGTCAAGTGGGAATCTGGTCCGGGTCCCCATGGGCCAACAGCCAGCATCTCAGCTTGAAACCTGATTCTGAGCAAAAGGAAGGGAAGAGGAGGGGGAGCCTCTGCTAAGGCTTCTCATAGCCAGACACCTGCACCATGTCCAAAGCAACCCTGAGCTCAGGCAGTCAAACCAGCAGGAGTGGTGGGATGGGCTCAGTACCGTGGCAGTCAAGTCCCTTCCACACGGGTATTATCCTATGCCACTTTCCCCCAGTCTACCTATTTTAAATTGCAAAATTTTCCCTGCCTGTTAGGGAAGCCAGGAACAACATATATTGCAGCTGTTTGTATTGTGTTTAGCTATTAGCTATATTTATATGGTAATTCCAGCATAAAACATTGAATAAATACCATTCCACACACATGCCAAATTTAATAATTGTTCGGATTTGCAGTGATAGAATGCTGCAGCAGGCTAGATTTGGAATAAGCAATTAGATGTAGGGTTTTTTTCTGCACAGGTTAGTTATTGGCCACTGCATCCTGCTCAGATGAGTAAAATCAAAGAGTTAAAACCAACCACCTCTGGGCCTCTGAATACCTTTGAAGCAACAATAAAAGGTATAGTAAAAGGCCTGGCTACAATAGTCATTCATGCCTCCAGGTTACAAGCTAGTGACAAGCTACAAGAATCATCTGATTCTTTTCACATGAACATTTTTTAATCTGGAATATTTTGTGCTATAACAATTTATTTTTCTGCATTATGCAGCTATTTCAGTTTCTACCAAGTGTGTTGGTTTTCATTTGCACCATCTGGTTCTCTCTGCATCCGTCTCTAACCTGTGCTTCCTGCTTACTTCTGCTTTGGCTCATCCACTAATAGTGGTCTTTAAAGTCTTGATTTTGATACCTGAAACAGCATTAAGAGTGTACTTGCTGCACCGTTCTCTACTAGCACTTAATATACTTGACTGAAAAAGGATTAATTTGAGAATTTCACTGAATTATTGAGAAAATAGGCACAAAACTTTAACATTAACAGTATTTTAACAAGGATTATCTTACTATTGGACAACTATATTGGAGTGGAAATAGGCCTCAAATTGCTTAGTTTAAATCCAACTCAGGAAAACAATAACTTAAAGTAATTTTCAACCGAAGCACTGTAATTGAGTGGTTTGAACAGCCAGGGTTGTTGCTGGGTGGTGTCCACATTAAAGAAGCCATGCAGATCCTTTAAAGAGCTCTCAGCAGTCCTGGATTGAACAAACCGAGTCTCATTTAAGTTGATTTATCTATGTCAAAGATGAAAAAAAGTGGCAGAGTAGCTGGGCCATTACCCTTACCTGTGCTGGAGCTTTTCTGTTGCTAAATGACTGAGATGACTCTTCGAGGCTGAACGACTGACAGTTTCCAACAGCAACAGATTCACAAGCACGAAAAAGGATAAACAACGTCCCAAGGGGACACCGTGATCCAGCAGACCTTGTACTGCCTCTGCCACAGACTTGCTATATATCCATAAGGAACTCATCGCTCAGCTTTTACTGCCTCTAGACTGCACATTGCCTGCTTTAGGTGTACATGGAGTAGTGGTCTGATTGCTGTTCAGTATATGGATACCACCAGAATAACAATGACATAGTTTTGGGTTCCTACAGCATAGGTTTGAGACCCTCTGTGTTACTGATACCCCTCACCTTCTCCACAGCTCTGTCTTTTACAAATATGGTAACAAGCCCCCCAAATTAGAATTAAACCAGCTAATGGTTGTAGAGCACAATGAGCTTCTCAGTGAACAATACGCTCACACCAAGTGACAGCAGCAGGATTTTTTGCTGATAATTACTTTTCCCTTACAGCATTCCTTACCAATTGTATGAAACTATTGACACTGGGTGTAATGCATTCTCCCATTTCTCATTGTATCACTTTAGGCTTCTTTTAGGTTTCTTTGCACTTACTGACTTAATAGGCATTTTATTTTTTTGTTGCTTTTCATCACAGGTGGCTAATGTTCCATTTCTGGCTGGCAGACTGAGGTTGAGATGTGATCATTAAGTTAATACCCAGTTTAACTATACCACTCTGCATTTAAATTGAAACAAAAATATGCATAAATAGCTTCAGGCTTACCTCTTCAGTCCCTCTCATTATACGTAACATCTTGATAATTCTATTTCTATATAGTAATTGTTTTCATCCTAATATCTTTTTCTGCATACAGTAATAATATTTTACTTGTTTCTTTGTCACTGAAAATTATCGTCGAGATTGCAGAGCAGACAAAATAGTTTCCTCCTGTCACTGGCTGTGACTAATCTCAGCATTGTCTCCACTTTCGCTTTATGAATTTTGACTCATTACCAGAAACAGAGCTTAATAACAATATATGCTATAAATTAGTTGACTAATGCATGCCTATTTTAAATAAAATGAACTATTTCTTCTTTCTTTTATGAAAGGTAAGAGACTTCTCTGTGAAGCTGTTCAGAATCATGTCTCAAAACACTAAGTGTCATTCATCACTGGGACAGAGCTAGAGCTTTACTTAATAATGTTAACATATTCTTTCCCAAGTGGTTTACATCCCAGGAACTCAAACCATTTTATGAAAAGTAATTCATTATCCTTCCACATAGCTGCTGCCAGGTAGTCCAAACAATTATCCACAACATTAGTCTTTATCTGTTAGGAAGGGAGGTTTAGAAAAGCTGGAGATTCGATACAAAAATGGTATCATTACATAATAGTGCACAGGTGAACATGCATAAAGTATGGATTGACTTCAGTTCCTTCTCCTCGGAGGACCATGCCTACCCCTATAGAACTGGCTCTAAATCTCTTCCAGCACCACAGTGTTTCCATACTCAGTTCTGTGTATCCTCACCTTCAAATTTCTTACCATTTCAACTGCCCAGTTTGTTTTTTTCCTCTCAATGTTCCCTTAATCCAGCTCTTGCCAATCCTCCTTCCCGTTTTGAGATCTCCATGAGAATTAATTGCCTTACAGTAATTTTAACAGCATATGTACTGCTATGAAGATAAACTATACCACTCTTTATATCTCCATATTATTCTAGCTACATCTCCAAGTTTGCAGACAAGTTGTGAACTAATATCCTATGGTTTCTGTATTCATTTTCCTCCACTTTCAAGCTTGTGGTGCCTTGCTTACATTTTTGATTCTTTTGAAAACATTGCATAATTTTGGATTGCTTTCAAAAATATTTTCTCTGGTTCAAGCACATGTTGAGTGGGATGTGAAGGAGAATCTGTGACTGTTCTGCAAGAGGTCAGACTAGACTACTGCTTGTCACACTAATTCTTGTGTTGGCTCCAAGCACATACTCTGGGCATAAGGCATGTCCATGATTCCCCTCCTGAATTAATGAAATCACAGTATGATAGCTGATCTGATCCAAGGGGTAACACTGGGGCATTCACAGCTAGAGTTGCACAGCGGAAATAAGATAGTTACTTCCCCCTCCAACCTTCCCATTTTCTGAGGTCTTGAGAATTAATTCTAAAATATGTATGTATATGTAATGTATTTGTGGCTTATCTAATTACCAGAATTATTGGCTTTAATTCATGGCAGCATCAGAATAACTTCCTATCTCCTGCTAATTTTTTTTTTTTAAATAAATTTGTACCAAAGTCAATTACGCTGCAAACAGTTAAAATAACTCCACAACCCCGAAAAGCAACAAGAGGCAAAACAACACATACAGAATCTTTGTTCTAGTTTCTTTGGACTGGTGTCTGATAAACATCTAGTGAATATTGAATTCATCTTCTACAGGCAGCAGTTATGTGTTCAAACACAGCCAGCCAGCCTTACTTTACCAACTGGTTTTGCAATTTGAGTTTTAACTACTGAGAAGTGGTTCTCTCATGAGAGATATTTCAAAATCTGTAACTTTTCCCTCAAAATTCTGTTATCTTGGAAAAAGTAGTGATTTTTAATATAAATTTTCCCACTTTCTTCACTATGAAGTGAAGCCCAAACTTGCAGACAATAGTAGCAGGATAACTTAAAAAAAATTTTAAAAAGATCTTTTTATACATAAAGAAAATATATTTTATGTCCCATAAAATGTCTTTACTTTGCTTCAATTTTGGGAAAACAGGTGTTTGTGAACTAAGCTCATGCAGGGTCTGTGTTGAGATTTTGTAGTTTCATTCCCACTCCAAGTTTGTCAGAAATTCTTCTCAGCTGTTTGTGCTTAGGCTATCATGAGGGACTTTGGGATTTGTCTCCTCTTAATTAACTGAACAGCTTTTTTTCTGATGCTTTTCCTTTATTTTCTGCATAATCATGCTGAGTACATTTTGACCTCTCCATTTCCTTTTTTAAGCCAATACAGCTAAAACAGGCCTGCTTTCAGGCATATGTCTCCATTTGGGTACCAAAACATGCAGGCAGATTCTTTCAGTCCAAAATGATTACACTGTTACTACTTGCATTAATTACCCCATAGTCAGATAGCTCTGTGATTGAATTTCACATTCCTAAAAAAAAAAAACCCGCTAAGTTTGACTAGCTTAATTCATTTTCTCTGCTTTTACACACAGATCAACTTGACATCATTTCAATGGCTGAAACAACAATGATGCCTGAGGAAATTGAGCTTGAGATGGCAAAGATCCAGAGACTTCGGGAAGTCTTAGTCAGAAGAGAATCAGAACTCAGGTTTATGTAAGTATCAATACTTTTGGGAAAACACTATGCAAAATTAATCAAAATAGGAAAGAATGCCATTTAGAAGACTTTTATCTGCTTGACATTTTAAAAGGAAGAAACATAAAGAGCATCCCAGTTAGGTGAACACTTGCAAAATGCCATTGGGAAATTATTTTTGTAGTTGCAAAGGAAATTACCTTTTTTATGCAGAATGATTTGCAGAAGACATAAAAGGGATCTATTACTTACAAAAGGAAACTTCAGCAAAGTACGTATCTACAGAGCATATTTTTATACCTGACTTCAATCCTTTAAGGGAAGGATATTTGTCTGAAGAAAATATCAACAGGTAAGGGATTTGGAGTTCCCACAGTCTAACCTAATTCAGGCTTTATTCCTCACTTCATTAGTGGTCTTAGGCAGTTCATGTCACAAGAGAGCACACTGTGTTCTGGACTAATAGCAGCTAAGATTTGACATTTGTTAAATGAAAGCCATTAAGTTATGAACAGAAAACACATTTTGATGTATCAAATTAAATAGCAATACTCCAAGAGATGCTTTCAAAACTGCCAAAAGCATGAGGCATAGGAGCCTCACTGAAGGTTAATGAATATTAATCTAGTTCTGATGATGAAGTCAATAGGGTTTATGTTCCTAACTCACTGAATATGGAAGACTGGGACTTCTTAATAAGGAGTATATTATTTTGAAGTCCCATCTGTCAGTGAATACCTGAGATCAGAAACTAATGCCTTTGCTGACACGTCAAGAACCTCTGTAGACCTAAAACCTGCTGAACCCCTACCCTTGGCATTAATGAAGCTGCAGCAGCCTGAAAAAACTCACTTGCCCTCTTCTCCCTTTAAAGTACAAAGATGGGACTGGTACTTTACCCTTACACCTGGAGGCTAATTTCAGTGCCCTGACTTGCATTGCCAGAAGCTGAAAGCCCCACCCTCAAACAGCAGAGATATCTGGCTTTTTTGAGTATTATCCCAGAAGACTTCAGCCCAGAATCACTGCTTAGACACCTTTGGAAATAAGGACTGGTGACAGTGGCACTGACCTTTAATAATGCTGTAGTAGTACAAATAAACAGGAAAGGTTTTGTCACACCTGCTCCTGATAGTCAAATAACTTGTACATAAATTTAATCTGGAAGAAGCCTCACCCATGAACCCAGCACTTCTCTTGACGTTTTCTATATCAAACAAAGCACTGAAATAAACTGACTCAGTGAATGAGAGCCATGCCGGACATCAGCTTGCCATCCTTTTGCATGTTCTTCACTTGTTCTGTTTGGTTTTGTATCCAGTCTGTTCTTTTCATTTCCCCCATGCTCCTACTCTTTACTCTGTATTGCCTAGCAGGTATTTGAGTAAAGAATTGAACACAAAGGAGCTTGCTTATTGAAAAGGGAATATAACTGACATTCCTACTGTGCAACAGCGCTCTTCCTGCATTAGATCATAGAAACACACTCTGCCTAGAGCTACCCAAGAACACTCCCTAGCCGTTCACTGGCTGAGTTGAGGAAAGCTCTTCTGAGCATCAAAATCTCCACTAGGTTTGGCCCTAGGTATTAGCAAAGCAGGAAGGGGATAGAGGCAGCTGCTGCCAGGGATGGCCCTACTTTTTTGTCTTTTCCAAGTCATGGAAAGCCAAGTTTGTTTCTGCTGCCACTGTTTTCAGTAAGAGGGACTGAGGCCTGTGCCACTGCCACAGTTCCTCTCACTCCTTCAGTAGCAGTGAGCTAAGGTGACTTTTCCAGTGATATTCACGGACTGCTCCCCTTCTCTGTGGCAGAATATTGTGACACTGCTCATTAATGCTTGAGAGTTACATTAAGTTTGTTAACACCACCAAATGAAATGATGAGATAGCATCTGTCTCTGCGCTAGGACTCTATTTTCAAACCTCTACTGCACTGATTGGGATTTCTCAAGCCTTGTGTAGGTTTCCCATCTTTCTAAGCCCATTTACAACAAGCACGTTCTTCACACTAGCTCATCAAGTGTGAAACTCTCACTCACAAAGGCTTCCAGAATTAGAACATGCTTCCCTTAATAGCTTTTTGGAGTCCAAAAAATTGTCTATTTGACTTTATCTCATATTAAAAATTGTTTTTACATTTTATTCTTGACAAGTGAGAAGCATGTTGCTAGTGATGCCCAAGTAATACAGCGGCACCTGTTCTTTGTTGCCTTTCATTCTGGAGAGTTTACACTGACAGAGGGGCTCAGTGGCATTTGTCTTCAATGACAAACATCTTTTAATGACCTCTTGCTGAGCACAACTCACGGTTACCTCAGTGGTCCAAGTTTTTTATCTGTTTAACTAAGCAAGTTACATAAACTGTAATTCACAGACATATTGTTGAAGAGTTTATATGTGGTCATGTTTAATTTTTTTTTCAGTTGTTTCCAGAAGGAATGCATTACCAGTGTCCCAAGACCAGAAGTCTGTATGTAGGTCATAAATTTTAGTAATTGTTTTCTTCTGGCAGGACTAGATTCCCCTGTGAATGACCTATACAACCAACAGCACGTAACTGAGCTGCCTCAGACAGGTTTAAGGCAGACTCAACTTTGAACATGAGGCCGCTAACTAGCAGTATTACACCTGCGCTCTGACCACTGAGTTCAAGACCAGCTTTAATGAGAACTGGATGTCTTTAGTTTTTGTACCTGCTTTAGCTTTTTGTTCAATTGTAACAAAAGGATAAAACATACATATAGTAATGGAAGAAACGCATGATATGTTTGTATTCTCTTTTTTCCCCCTCATGCTGTTAGCAACAGAATAGAAATTCTCTTGAGTTAAATTGGGCTTTTTTTAGTTCTTATAAAAGCATGAACACAATGAAATAATTCCGTATCGCTTACACATCCAGTGTACAGCTTACATTTTAGCTGTGCTTTAAGAAAAAAAAGAAAAAAGAAAATAAGCTAGAGGGCTTGTGCTCTTGAGTGTTTCACCAGCCCTAATAGCGGCCATGGCTCCCTCCTGTTAAGTCATACAGCCTGTCAGCTTTACTTACACACACCAGCAACTACCACAACTCTTAACAGCACAGACACTGTATTTTAACAATATTCACACTCAAGAATAAGAAAACAAAACACTGCAAGCTAGACCTGTTGCTGATGGAAAGCAGAGCAAGCTGTTCCCCTGTCAGAGCAATGCAGTTTAATCCATGGAAGGAACTGGCTCTAAACCTGCTAATTGAAATTAATGTTCCCCTTGAAGAAGATGCACAAAGAAGATCGAGATGGGCTAATAATAAAACTCACCATTACTGATGTTTGAAACAGCTCTGCAACAACCTGGTGTTGTCTTTAACACATTTTTCCCAAACAAATGCAGTAGCCATAAAATAAGGGCACTTGGTAGAGAAATGCTCAAGGTTAACATATCAACCAGTGCAAAAAAACCCCAACAAAAACCAAACCCAACTTAAAAAAACCAACTAGAAACGTCTGGATGCTCAGCAGATCTGGAGTTGGTTTGCATTTTTCACACTTCTGTATGTGAACCAGTAAAAACTTTTCCTGCTGATATGTGAGATCATTGATAATGTAATATTCCTTCAGGCAGTTCCTCAGCTGTGATCTATATAGCACGTGTCTCTCTCCAAGCAACATGAACTCTACATCAGACAGTCTTTAGTGAAATGTACAGACAGCTTTCCTTGGGTTGAAAGTTAAGGCACTGAGGCCTTATTTTTACCATAGTAATACAGCGAGGTCCATATTCTCTCTCCCCACTGAACAAAGTAACATCAATGACTAAATAAGTTGTAGGACAAGGAAATGGATAAAATTAAGTACCTTGCTCCTACCTCACTACACAAATGTTACATTACAGTATTCACAGTTGGTAGCACTGCAGTGTCTAAATAAAATCTTTGCTGAACAGTTCATCATCACTAAAAGCTTTAGAAGAGTCACCCTGTAGGGGTGAAAGAAAGAGTGGGATGGTGAAGAAATAAAAGCCAGATACTTAATCATCATTATTTCAAAGCAAGTCCTAAAGTATTTGAGAATCAGGCAGTGAGATTAAACTCAAAATTAAAAGGATTTAACAGTATTAGACTTAAAAAGTGGTACAGAGTAGTGTTCAAAAAACATACAAAACTATATGTAGGGTTTTTTCTCATACATATCTAAGCAGGCTCTATGCCTCATCTGTTAGCCTACGTCTATCAAACATACTGTTAGTTCAACAGATCCATTGTTTTCAGCTTTCAGAATTAAAGTGAGGAAAATCTTCATTATATTTGAACAAATTTCACATACATTTCTGTGATTGAGTTAAAACATCAAAGCTCGGGTTTTTTAGTTTATGAATTTCCCCCCATCTCTTTGCAACAGTCACGCTGTGAATAAACAAGTTGCTTTGTGCTGTACTAGATATTAAAATTACTCACAATCTTTGCTCTGGGCCATCAACAGGAAGGTTAATTTCCTCAGGAAGAAATTTTCCACCTTTAAAAAGAGATTCAGACATGCAGTCAGCAACAGTAACTCATGTGATACTGAAATCAGTCACCAGGTAAGACACATCACCTGCTTGCTGGGTTAACATTCTGGTTCAAGAAGAGCAAGGGCAGCAAAAATTCCTTTAATAAGTGGCTCGCTTTATTTTTATAGTTTACAGGGAGTCCTTCATAAGGCCCCTTCCACTGCAGAGCCATGCGAGGCAGTACTAACTGCTTGGCCTCACAGGTGAAATGGGTTCTGCAGCTGCATGAGACAAAATGGCTGCCATTCTGTGGCAGCTCAACCACACAATACAAAATGGCTGCCCTGTCTGTGGGGCCCCTGCAGCGGCCCTTCCACTGACACCCACCTTCCTCTTGCAATAGCTTTGAGGATTTTTTTTTTCCTTATTGACAAACTCTGTGCACTCCCCTTATTGTCTGCTGGGCTGTGTGGCATAGAAGGCCATAGGCTACCAGCTAAGGCTCTCAAAAAGGAAGTTTTTCTAGTGACCACCTCCAATCCCCCTGG